GATGTTGAAAAATCAGCCGACGAGTTGTGATTAGGAGTGAAATGACAGTCGTACAGCCAGTGCACTAAAACTGTAGCAAATCACAAAAGATATGCTCGGATGCATACGCCCATATCAGGTTTTAGTCAGGAAAGCTGAATGATGCACGCACCAGGCATTCAAACGGGGAAAACCGAGGCCAAACGTGTCATCTCTACAAAATTGTTACGGTTACACAAGATCACTCTCAATCTTCGTCGGTTAAAAAGGAGATGCGGTCCCTGTCCACCCTGTGCTTCCTGCTCTTGAGCTTGGGCAACGCCACCATCCACGAAGGGACCTCGCAGCCCGAAGATACCAGCACGTTGGCGATGTTCCGCAGGAAAGGCTTGTCCTCCTCCGTGAAGAACGTGATCGCCTCCCCTGATCTGCCTGCTCTTCCAGACCGTCCTAGAATATAACAATGGAAGGGATTTAGAAACTTATTGCAACGACGGTGTCCAGGCGGAAGAGAGCACAATATCTTTCTTACCTATTCTGTGAATGTAGGCAGACGCGGACTCAGGGAAATCATAGTTGATTACACAGTTGACACCTTTGAAATCCATTCCCCGCGCAAGAACCTCTGTTGCTATTAGCACCCAGCTTTTTCCAGCTCTCAAGTTGTCAACAGCATCTTGACGCTAAAAGCAAGGAAATACAGAATTCAGTCAGCGAGCCTGATGTCAACAGTATTAAACCAGTGATAACAGAAAGCTACAGGAACAGTAATCAAAATAAGTATCGGTAAATTATGCAAAAGTAATACCTGCTCTTCAGTAAGGTCTCCATGAATTACATCAACTCTAATGTCGTCATATACCAGCTCCCTGTAGAGCTCTTTTGCCCTCTCTTTGCTTTGAACAAAGACCAATACCGGAGGATTCAGAGACTGCAATTGAAGACAATACAACAACAGTAAGTTTCAAAACACACACACAGACTCCTTTTTAATAAGGACAATGTGCAGTTCAAGTGTTCGACATTTTAAGTACTTTGCACATAGTGAGTTTACAGCTACGAGCAACACAATAGGGCTTGGTTTTGCTACTTATATGTGGGCATGCATTAGGCTGCAGTCTGCTGGTTTGGCATGGCCAGTACATACCAGTTCTAAAACAACACAATGCATGGAAACCAGGAGAAAGAAACTGCGAGTGAAAGATAACACATACTTCTGCAAAGCTTTGGCGAAGAGCTATCAACTTCCCCCTCTCCGTTCCAGCAAAAATCAACCTTTGCTTGATCATTGAGGAAGCTGAATTCCTGCAAGTTGAAAATTACATTATGAAAATATCTCATGCAAAATAGATCTGCTAGTTCACAAGAATAGGATACTCACTTTCGTCCCACAATGATCCGAACAGCGTCATGCATTATTGTACGTGCAAGAGCCTCTATTGTTTCAGGCAATGTGGCACTAAACAAAGAACGAATTATTGAAGGGTTTGAGCATGCTTTGACAATTGAATCAATTACTTCGACGAATCCAAGCTCAAAAAGTTTATCAGATTCATCCAACACAAGGTACTCCACCCTGCATGAGGCAGTTATGTGTTATTGCTGAACTTTGCGCAGATCTGAAAGAAAATGCTTAAGCAAAATGCAAATTCATGGCTCCTCGGTAAATCACATGACAACACAAATGACCAAGATGGTATGGAACAGAGAATAAATCAATAAAGGTAGCTGATTTGGTCTTGTTATGTTTTGATTCTGAAACAAATTCACTAGAAATGAACGTAATGCAGGTTATTCAGTATTTCTTGACAAATGAAAACACTTAACAGCCACAGTTTTTCTGATCAACTTAATTTCTTTTCATTTCGCTAAAATTTACCATTTGTAATGTAAGTACTATCTGTGTACTCATACAATCATTTAGTGTCGATGAAAATGTTATTAATTGGAACCCCAAGTAACAATTATGATCAAACAAAAAAAAGGATCACAATATATCTGGAGTGCAATTAAAACGTTATATTTATATCAAAATAATTGTAATATGCTAAATAGCTAAACAGAAAAAATCATAACATGATCACAGACCTACTTAAGTCAAGGTCTCTCTTTCGTATAGCATGGTCCAAACGAAGTGGGGTGGATACAAGGATGTCGCAGTGCATATCCTTGAAATTGCCATCTTGTGACAGATCTTTGGTCATTAGTTTGACACCAAACTTCCTCCCTTTTGCCAACTTCTTGCACTCTCTCGTAGTCTGTGCTGCCAATTCCCTTGTCGGGCAAAGAATAACAGCCTTCACACATCCTTTAGACCCTGGCTATTAGAACAATATACTCATCATAAAGCATGTCCAACAAATCTAAACAACATAACACAATACCATGAAGATTAATACCTTGATTTTCATAAGCATCGGGAGCAGGAATGCCAGTGTCTTGCCAGAGCCTGTAGGTGCACAAGCAAAGCACTCCCTGCCCTGAAGCAAGCAATACAAAATAATTAGTGTAAACAACTACGTATATTTTTCCATGCCAAGGGGACTAAGTCCAAAAGAGAGCAAACAATCACTCACTGAAAGAAGAATAGAAATGGCCTGCCTCTGGATAGGTGTAGGTTCTTGAAACCCAAGTTTTGACAAGTTCCCAACCAAATATGAATCACAGTCATACCTAGTGCACAAGTAAAAGAGGCTCAGCTTAACAGCTTCAAATGATTACTTAAAGACCTGATTTTGATGTTGCTGCAGTGCAGCATGTCAATAATCCACAATGACAAAAATGCTAACCTTGAAACCAGTTCTTCAAAGCTCTCCAGTGGTGCTGGAACATTATGTCCCGAAATGTGGATGTCATACCTCTTCCGAAGAATGGCAGCTCTCTAGAAACAAACACAAAATATTAAAATACAACAGTTCAGTGGTTACAGTTTGCAAACAAACCAATCATAAGTCAAACTCTACCACTATTTTCAATTCAATCAAGACCGTGCTGGAATCATAACAAAACCACTTTGCTCACCAGATATTTACATATACAGAGCTTTGTGTTGCAAAATAACCTATAATGATTACTAATTCAGCTCAACAGAATTTTCTTACCAAAATAAAAACATATACTACTGAACCATGATTACGAACATTGGTGCATTGCAAAACACCGTTACCTCGATTTCCCTCTCTGCCTCCTTCCGCCGCCTCACGACGGCCGAGTCCTCGTCCTCCCTAACCTCAACCTCCACAGGCTCCTCCGCAGCCTCCTTCGCCTCCGCCCCTTTGAACACGCTGAACCCCTCCACAGCATCTGCAGAAACAAACCCAACCGGACTCAAACCACGAGCGCAGCCACTCCAAGCACCAAACAGGCAGGAATCGAAGCCTCACCGGACGCGGAGGCGGCCCCGTCGGCGCGCTTCTTCTTCTTCTTGCTGTTCTTCTTCGCGTTGGCCTTGCTCTTGCGCTTCCGCTTCTTCTCCGGGCCCGGCGGCGCCGCGTCGGGGGTCGTGGGAGCGGGGGCAGCAGGCTGCGCGCCCGTCCGGAACCGTGCGATGTCCCCCGCGAAGCGCTTGCGGTCGAAGCGGGTGCCGGCGAACAGCGCCGACGAGAGGCTCGGCTTCTCCTCCATGGCTGGGTTTGGATTTCGCCGCCGCCGCCGCCGCCGGGGAAACCTCCTCCTCCTCGTCTTAAACGTTAAACCCTAGCACGGACCCACGAGCAGCGAAATGAACCTGGTTTCCTTGCCTGGCCCCACATGTAAGCCAAAGAGCTTGGGCAGTTTCCACGATCAAAAATTAGACGGCTCAGATCTGACCACGGACGCCATCCGGCGCGTCGGTCGCCGTGGGCTCCACGCTGGCGCGCTTATCCGACCGTCTGCCCCACGTCTCAGCAAAGCAGTGAATGACAGGTGGGACCCACAGACCATGACCATGACCATTGCCGTCTGCTTCCGCTTCCGGTATGGTATCCAGTGCCTTGCCCACCTCGCCGTAATCCTTGCCCTAAAATAAAAATCCGTAGCTGCAGCTTCGCCGGAATCCCGCCCGCCGGCCCGCCGTCCGTTCCCGCGCGCCGGATCTGCCGCTCGCCGGACGATTTCTCCGCGCGAGATGTTGGTCCCGTGGGGAGGGGTCGGGTGCTGCCTCAGCGCCGCGGCGCTGTATCTCCTCGGGAGGAGCAGCGGGAGGTGAGGAATTTTTTTTTTGTATAGAGAGAAATCGTTTCCTTCTTCGCGATTTCTGGGGTGCTGATTGGTGGTGGCTTTGCTGCTGACTCAGGGACGCGGAGGTGCTGCGATCGGTGGCGAGGACCGGCAGCCTGAAGGATTTGGGTGGGTGAGCTAGGGTTTGGTCTGTCACTCTGTTGTAGGTTGTTTGATTGGCTTCAGGAGTAGCAATTACTTGAGCTCTAGTTTTCGGCGGGTGCTACTGCTCTGAGCTAATCTGATCCTAGCCTCCCATGTCGGTGATTTGGTTTGCAGCTCGTGGTGATATTTTGTGCATCTGTTGGTAAAATGGCACTTCCTCCGATCCAAAAAAGTGCCGTGGCTTTAGTTCAGCTTTAGTTCAAACCTGAACTAAAGCCACGACACTTTTTTTTTTTTTGCATCGGAGGGAGTACCTGGTTTGGATCATTGGTGGTTTCTTTGGGTTTGTAGGTAGATAAGTACTACCTCTGTCCTGAAATGTAAGACGTTTTTGCAGTTCAAATTGACCACTGTCGCCAGTGGTGGAGCCAGGAAATTTTCATTGGGTGTTTACACTTAACAACTTCTTCTTTTAATATCAACGGCAATATTTGTCCAGAGGCACTATATATGCTTAAGAAAGCCTCATGTTATCATAAGTTCAGTAGATAAATTGAACTTGACAATTTTCAAAATTAAATTGATTGCCTAAATTTGTTGGGGGTGCACAACAGTGAAGACAACCCAAATTAGCAAGTATCAGCTAGCAAGGGAGCTAGTAATTAAATTTTTTATCCTTACCCTTGCATGAACTCACTGAGATATACTAACGTAGGCATTGGTTGCTAGTGCTTACTACCTGCCACCGTCCTGTCGCCCTCAGCGGCTGGCACCATGGCCCTGCCCATTGCTGCAGTGTTGCTGCCCAGCTGCCGTGCGGCCGACTGACCAGCCGCTGGAAACCGTGAATGTGCACTGCGCTTCGCCCCCGCATTGCTCGCCCAGCCGCCGTGTCACCTGCTCAGCTTGCTTCCTGCTTGCCTGCTGTGACTGCCTCCCTTTGCCCGTTGCCATGTCCGCTGGCCGCCGTGGCTCCGTTTTCAGGTTCAGAGCAGGCATCAGGTGAGAATGTGAGGCTGTTTGAGCAAGAGAAACATGGGAAGGTCCCAATAGTTTTTTCCATTGATGGCTTGATCACCTCTGTGCTGCTCGGAAGAAGCAGGACATAGACACATCTAGCAGGTCCTGGGTCTAGCCGGTGCAGGCCTGCGTTTTTAGACCGAGTTTTGCTTTATGTAGGCTTTTGCTAATTTTCATTGGGCCGCCGAACTACTCTGGATGTTTTTGGCAAATGAGCTGGCTGGTCATGACTCGTGAGACCAACATGAATACCTGCTGGCTCCGCCCATGTTTGTACGGCAGCATAATTTGTTCTTCTGCAAAATCCAAGAGTGCTGGATTTATCTTGTTGGCTTTAAACAAAGTTCAAAAAAGCGATTGGCGCAATTCCTAGTTTTGCCTCTGTCTAGTGCCTATATCGCCTAAGTGCATGCTTAGCATGAATACGAGCTAGGTGTTCTGCTGACGCACAAGCGCATAGGCATGCCTAGTGTGATTAAGCGCTAAGCGTACTGCTTTTGCCCAGCACCTAGGCATTCAAAAGCGCACATCTAGGCTTGCCTTTTTTAACTATGGCTTTAATATGGTTAAAGTCCAGCATTTACTTCAGATATGGTCAAGAGCTAGACCTTTCTTATCAGCATGCTTTACATGTGATATATACTTTCTACGGAGATTATCATTTGGTATACTTGGTTAAATACGCAAAAAGGGGATATGTTTTAACATTTCTTCTCTCTCTTGAACAGCTGCTATCTTGGACACTGCAAGTAAAGTCCTGCCACTTGTAGTGGCGGTTTCTGGGCGAGTTAGTTCAGATACACCACTTATATGCCAACAAAGTGGTATGAGAGGTGTAATAGTCGAGGAAACGGTAGCTACTGATTTGTTGTTTCTGTTATTAGTAGATGGGTTTGTTGTTGGTAATTGTGGCACTATGCTAACTTTTTGTTCTTTGTAGGCAGAGCAACACTTCCTGAAGCACAATGATGCTGGATCCTGGATTCAAGATTCTGCTGTGATGCTTTCTGTTAGCAAAGAGGTTCCATGGTACCTGGTAATGTGTTCTAGTTTTTTTGTTGTTGCTCTGTCAATACATGCAGTTTAATTTAGCCTTAGTTTGATTATTCCTATTATGTGTCCAAACTTGGAATTATCTAGAAGTTTATTTCTGCAAAGCTTGGGTTATAACCTCCCTCTGTCTGTACTCTGGAGTCTAGACTACCTTCTCTGTTTGTAGACCAGATTTATAGCAAAGAAGAGCATATGCATCCCTACCTGCTAAGATAGTGCTATAGGTGAGAAAATGTGCTAGAATTAATGGCCAAAACTGTGGGCATGGTTGCTAAGTCTAGTATATATAGCACAAAACTAAGCTTGGCTGGTGATGTTAAATCATCTATTCTTCACGGATAAAACGAAACTGTAAAATATTTGGTATCAATTAGCACCTATATGCGGTCCTATGTGCTTGGATGGCTCATGGCGAGAGCAGCTAACAGTATTATTTCGAAAAAAAACATGCACTCAGTACCCACTTTAGCCGTTAAATCCTTAGCTTAGGCATTGTTAATGTATTGATGATATGCCTATACTTGTTTAACAGAAGAATATGCATAAGCTTAAACCACACGAAGTTGTTATATAAACGTAAACGAAGTGACTGCTCATAAAAGAAAAGATAAATTGTAGTTCTAAATTCACTATTTGTTTTTCTAGTTTGATAATATCTTGTGATTTTGTGATACCTTGCAAGTTCAGTTCTTCTCTAACATATAATTCATCGCCAGGATGATGGCACTGGGCGTGTCTATATTGTTGGCGCTCGTTCTGCGGCAGGGTTAATTTTAACTGTTGCCAGTGAGGTTTTTGAGGAGTCAGGGCGGACTCTTGTACGTGGAACTCTGGATTATTTACAAGGACTGAAGGTTTGTCTAATCACGTTTTGAGCAAGACCAATGCTTATAGGATTGCTATTCATAATTTAGCATTAATCATTGTAGATGCTCGGAGTAAAGCGAACTGAAAGGGTTCTTCCAACTGGAACTTCATTGACTGTTGTTGGTGAGGTAATAACCGTAGATTTCATTGAGTTTCAAGGTACTGTGAATTTTTGTTGACATAACTAAATGTTTAGTCCCTTACTTTTGTTCTGCATTCTTATGCTGTATGACCAGGCCATTAAAGATGATGTTGGAACTATTCGGATTCAGCGGCCACACAAAGGACCATTTTATGCATCTCCAAAAAGCATCGATCAACTTATCTTGAATCTCGGGAAATGGGCCAAGTAGGGAGATTATGTACAACATTCTGTGTCTTTGTTTAGGGATCTTGCTGCTAATTGCATGTCTTTGTACAACAGGTTATACCAACTTGCTTCCATGGGCTTTGCAGCTTTTGGTGTATTTCTTCTTGCTAAGCGTGCACTTGATCATTTTCTACAAAGAAAGCGCCAGCGTGAATTTCACAAGAAGTATGGACAAACATCAGTTTCTTTTATTTAGAATGATTAACAGGGGAGGTTCCTTGGAAAGCAATCTCGTTCTTTTTCTGTTCAATTGTTCAGGGGGTTCATTCATCTGTGCTTGACATCATTAGAATTATGCCCCTTTTTATCTTGATCACCGAGTAGTATTTTGATGTCTTGCAAAAACTGCATTGTTCACCTGCAGCTAATATATTTCTCTAAAGATCACATGCAGTTGAAAAAAATGACTGAAGACGCTGTATGTGAAATGTTTTACTCATGGAACTATTTTTATTTCAGTCAGTACCACAAATTAGCAATCATGCATGGGACTGAATACCAAGATACTTTGGAAGCACCAAACATTTTCTTAATTTGGAATTTCAGAACATTGGTGTTATGTAAACTTATGTATTCATTTTGTACATACAGGGCTCGTGCTGCTGCAGCACAAAGGCAGGCTAGGGACGCTGAAGGTGATTTTCTTATAGATTGATTAGTCTCTCTTGTAAATACTAGTTCCTGTCTTATGATATCTTTTACTATTATTATATGAAGGAGGCAATGGCACATCAGACGGAGAGCCTAAGAAGGATCAATTGGTATTAGAAATATGTGTCATATGCCTTGAACAGGAGTATAATGCAGTTTTTGTGCCGTAAGTACCTTATTTTATACTCACATTTCATCATATGATTTTACATGTTAATAATGAAGCTGTTTCTTGTTTGACATTTTCATTGTGGATAATTCTGAGCATATATGTAGTAAACATCTGTACTGTTTACTGTTTCATTTTGGTCAAGAACTGGACCTTGACCAGTTGGCTAGAGGCACCTGGGTGTGAGTGCAGCCTGCTCGTTTGAGCTTCTGTGCTCCACACAGGGTGCCTCATGGTTGTCTCCCCCTATTTAAAAAGCCACAGGGATTGCATGTGGGTCTATTTTTTTGGTGGAATGTTTTTTTTGTGTTTAATACCTTGCATTTAACTTGCCTACCACTCTAAATGATTAAGCATGTTAGTAAACATGATATTAAGTTATGCATTTAATTTTATCTGGAATTTAATAAACCATGGGTTGTTCTGCCTTTGACATTCCAGGCTTCATTTAGCATTTTTTTTTAGCTCTGTTCATTACGAAGATGTTTTTCTCCTGAATCATCTCCACCTATGCTTGTTGATAAGCATCTTTCCCTGTTACCTATGCCCGTATTATATTGTTGCCACCAAAATGTTCATGAGTGAGTCATAACCGACCATTATGCAGGTGTGGCCACATGTGTTGCTGTATGAACTGCTCTTCTCACGTAACAAACTGTCCACTCTGCCGACGAAGAATAGACCAAGCTGTCAGAACATTCCGTCACTGATGGCACTACATGGTGCAAGATCCTGCGCCTGATAACACCAGGTGAACCACATCTTTCAAAACCACCTGATACTTCAAGTTCTGATTGCCGTGGCTGCCAGTGTGTGCCGATATCTGGAACGCGGAACTGAGCTGGAGCTTGTGAATTGGAGTTTTGCTTCACTGTCGAAACTTCACGGTTGACGCGGTGCCAGTTGCTGATCTTCCTTGTACTTTACAGTTGTGTACAGAGTGTTCTTGTGTAGCGCCTTGTTTCTAACAGCGCTCTGATTGACAGCATCGATGCTTAGTAGTAGTATTTACTGGTGGATCGATTGATTCTATCCAACGGAAATGCTATGTTGTTTGACATTGTAAAGGATAATCATTTCTTCTGATATATATTGGACACCGTCTGTTTTGATGTTCTTGTGTGCTCGCTGCTCGTTTGATTTTGTCTAGCCACATAAGAAGAAAATATGTAAAAATGTCGGTGCTTTCTCAAGCTTGCTTTCTTGTATGCATAAACTCGGTACTGTTATCAACGGTCAAGATTCTTGACAACTTTTTTTTTTGATGAGAAGGATTAGGGCAAATCCAACGGTGCCTCTTGAGTATCTCTCCTGTATCGCATATGGAGACGCTTGTAAAAGGATTTTCCCTTGAATTTTCTTCAACTCCAGCAGCTCTCCTTCAACATTGTGCCATGGTTAAGATCGAATTAGATTGAGCGTTCAAAAGAGTTCGCTGTGGCTACAGGCTTACAGGCTTTGGTGCATCAGGGATTGGGATTACCACCGTTGCCAAACAACCTCACGGGCAAATCCTAATCCAAAGCCCATACCCTCACACACCGATGAGGACATGAGGTACATCGGGAATAGCCGGTCTGTAGAGTGAAGACTCCCAGTCCCAGCTGCGCGTGTAACCCTAGTCCGGTACTCCTCCCCCCTCCCCTGCCCTGGATTCCCAATCCCAATCCCATCTGCCCCCGCCGCCCCGCCCCCGCCCCCGCCGTCTCTCCGAGCCACCGCCTGCTCCGCCGCCCGTCAGGTATCACCCTCGTCCCCTCCCTCACTCCTCAGACAGACGACGGCGTCTGAAACACTATAACACTTTCTTCCGCCGCGGGTTCGTACCGATCTCTTCCGCGTCCTGCTTCAGATTACCTCTCCGGTCTCCGCTCGCACCCTAGAGCTCGCCGTCACATCTCATCTCATTGCGGCGCGCAATCCGTCCTCCACCTACGGGTCTGCATCCACTTCGCAGCACTCAGTGATTGCACATTGCTCTGCTCTGCTGTGTGACTAGCGATCCACGTTTGTTTCCACAAGTTCATCACTCTGCTGCACATCAATCAGTCAAATTAAGTTTCTCGTCTTTCATGTATGTTGTAGTGATGGATCAGGGCGAGGGCTCCGCTAGGATCGTGCGAGGCAGAGGCAGGAACAAGAGGAAGTGGACAATGGACGAGGACGAGGAGCTGGTCAGGGCCCTCTGCGAGGTGTCCACCGACCCCAGGTTCAGGGCCGAAGGAGGGGGCTTCAAGAACTGCTACACCCAGGGGATAGAGAGCCTGCTCGCGCAGCGGCTGCCCGGCCGCGGCATAAAAGCCAGCCCTCACATCGACTCCCGGCTCAAGGTGCTCAAGCGCAAGTTCCACGCGATCAAGGAGATGCTCGCGTCGCCGGGGTTCTCCTGGGACGGCTCCAGGAAGGTCTTCCGGTGCGAGAAGCAGCGATACGACGAGTACTGCAAAGTGAGCCGGTTTTAGTTGGTGCTGTTGGCATTGTGAGTCTTTCTTTTGTGATGTGTCTTTGTAGTTTGCACTGACTTGTTTCGCCTCTGCAGGATAATCCTAGAGCCAGGGGGATGTACGGTGTTCCATTTCCGCATTTCGATGTATTTGATGCGGTGTATGGCAAGGATAGAGCCGCTAGGGAAGTGGTGGAAGTGTCCGAGGAAGTAACCGCCGACATGGAGAATGGGAATACGAGTGAAGCGGAGGAAGATCGGACGTCCAATGGACCGTCCGGCCGATCCTTGGATGCTACATCAACCTATAAAAAACAGGAGAGATGTAAGAATGGCGGTAAAAGGAAGAGGACTGAATCGAATTGCCTGTCTCCAGACACGTTGAAGGATGTGCGTGGTCACTATCAACGCGCCAGCCAGCATGTCGACACGATGGCAGAAGCGATGGAGCTGTTCAAGGATGTGCACCGTCACTTCCAGAGTGTTGTTCAGCATGCCGGTGCAATGGCAGCGGCAATGGAGGCGTTCAAGGATACACACGATCAGTTTCAGAGTGTTGTTCAGAATGTGAGCACCGCCGCAACAGCCATGGAGCAGTTCAAGGATGCACATGATCAGTTTCGAAGTATCACCCAGAATGGCAGCGCAACTGAAGCAGTTATTGAGCCTCATGCTGATCTGCGAGAAAGATTGTCGCCTGAGGTGCCCCAACAGGATGCCAGGGTAAGAGCCATTGCCGAGATGCAAAAGCTTGGGTTTACCGGAAGCGAAGTGGTCAGCGCTGCGAGTGTTTTCGCAAAGGAACCGGACCAAATGGGCATGTTTTTAGCACTCCCCGAAATCTACAGGAGGGAGTACATACTCAAGATGCTCAATGGTATGTTTACTGATCCTCGAATCTTGTATGGGCGCATTGCACTTCATTATAAGAAATGTTTAAGGCTTGGTTATTCTGAATGTCCGTGTCCAACATTGGCATTTTGGATACAACAAAGCAGAACCTGTAGCCTACATTCCTATGAATTAGACAATTAGTATATCGATTTTGGAAATATATGAGCTATTAGCTTTTGTTCTAGGCCTGCATATTTATTCATGTTTGTCAATGAACATTCCTTGTACTAGTATTTAAGGACAATTATCAATCTCTGTACAAGCTCATGCCGTGGAACTGCTGAACAACTACCATAAGCAACATTCGTGCTAGTTTCTACTATGACGGTATCTGTGTATGTGTATGCTATCAGCAAGAACACACTCTGTCTTGCTTGTTCTTAAGCGTAGATAGCATCGTCACCCGCTTGCACGGATTTAAAACGCGCCATCTGATAACTCTGTGCTTGTCTAGAAGGGGTTAAATGGCATGTGTCTGTTTGTCAAGACTCTCATTCTGTGCATAGGGTTTTTCCTCGTTTTGTTTATATTTTCTGCCAATCTTATTGTCCAGACATAACATAATCAAATGATCTGAAATGTTATGCTTTGTCCAGTGAAGCTGATTCATGTCTCATCCCCTTCTTCAGGTGGGCAATCTCTCCATTTTTAGCTTAAAGCGACATGGGAGGAGAGAAGCTCTAGAAGTTCTAATTCAGCCTAGTTGCAGCAATGGCAGTTGAAATTTTGGTACTAGTACATTTGTAAATGGTTATATATCTAGCGTCCCTCTGAAGTGTTCTAATGCGCTGTGTTAGTGAGAGTAGCCTTGGCATTCCTTTCCTTGCACCGGACTCGGTGGAAAATTGTACGGCCAAAGGGTAATGGGCAACCTGTCCGATTCCAACAGCATTCCGAACGACTCTGACGTCACATTCTGAGCAAAACAACAGCCACCTAAAACTGTGGTTCGTCAGACACGTAGCGAGGAAATGATATGGTTTACAATGGAGCCCAAGAAAATTACTCTCTCTTTCTAAAAAGAACTGTTCAGTATCCTGATGTTTTTCTTTTAGGAAGTCATACTGGTAGCTTGAGCTAATTGTGTCACTTGCTTTGTCAAGAAAGTTCACACAATGCCGCTAGAAAACAACAAAGCCTTGCAATATATAAGCTCGATGGTCTCAAGTTACTCAATATATTTTGAGATGCAACTAATCAGGATTTCAACCTCAAACTGTGTAGGAACTTGCTAAATACCATACAAACAAACTGGTGAATTCACACAGGCAAGAAATTATGTCATGAATGCGCGCATGGAGAGCACAAAAGGCATCAGTTGAAAGGAAACCGTAGAAAAAAAAATGTCGCAATTAACTGAAAGGATAATGATGCCGATGTTATAGAATCATCATTGCCAGTTTAACATCAATTTGCTGACATCAAATATCCACAAATACCAACAAAAGGGAACTGGAAATGAACTGAGTCTTTCTCTGACAATATTATTTGCATACGAAGAAGACGTCATAGCTTGGACGGTATCCCTGCCATGCCGCCGCGTACTGAGATACTAGCAAAACCCACAGAATTTCACTCCTTTTTCCCAATCCCGTTAGACATGTTGTAGATCCCACGACCCTGTTTGTTAGCCACGATACATGTCAATGACTGAGTGGACGCAATATCAAAGAGCACAAGTAACCAAGGCATCAGATGAGATTTTCAACTTACAATCATGAACAAGCTGGTGCCAGCAAGCGCAAGGGGAATGGCAACTGAGGTGACCACATCATAGCGGCCTTTAAGGTGGATATGCTTGCTCAGCTTCTGGAAATACTGCTGCTTCTGAACGAGCTTCTCGCGTGGGTAAAATGGTGCTTCTTCTAGCGTCATCCTGCATACAAAAACTACTCTTTCAATCCTAACCCTTAGATGGAAGAGCAATTGCCATAGATAGTTCTAGTATAATAATTGCATTACGCTGTGAACATCTCAAGATTCAGAAACAACGACCTTTGAGTTCATGAAACGTTTTAACTCCTATGCAGGTTTCTAACAGTTAATCAGTCACTCTCACAACCAGCTACCAAAATAGGGAATGATTACTTAATGTACAATCCACTACGTTACTTCATCAGTTCATCTACCAGGCATTTTTAAATCCAACGATTCTTTCTGAGCAACTCAACGTATTTGAATTTAGCACATTAACACAACATTTCAATGATCAGCAAATTCAAATATTGTGTATCTTCTACCAGTAACATGGCACTTTCTAGGCTATCATTGATCGTGACCAGTACCTCCCGCATACCAGCGAATCAGGAACCCAAAAAATTCATGTGCGTTCACCACGTTACAGCAGATCTAATAATAAACCAAAGAGATATCGATGAACTCGCACAGCATTACTAACCTAGCAACAACATAATGCTTCCAAAGAAAGGAATTTCAAACAGATAACCCAATCTCAACCTAGGCTAAACAAACGCCAGTAGACCACATCGGACCGAGACCCAGGCCCGAGGAGACAACCACCCATCCTAAAGCGCAAGAGCATACTCATCGAAATGTCCGCGCCGCCAGGCGAATCTCCCGGGCCAGTAAAACGCATCGAGGAGGTCACCGGCGCGTCGCGGACCAACGACTAGACCCCCCACGCATACTCGTGAATCTAAGAAATCGCACGAACGCGTACGACGGCTCGTTCGCCTGACGTCGCGTCGAGGACGCGGGCCCCCTCGTCCCCTCGTGCTGGGTTACGAGAGATCGTGGGGAGATCGGGGTAGGAGGGGAGAAGGGAGATCGCCGCTTACCTGGCTGGCTGGGGCGCGCGGGGGACGGGAAGCGACGGGGAGGCCGGCGGCGGCGGGTGGATCTGGAGGCTGGGGATTGGGGGTAGCGTTGTGACCTCGAAGGGACGAGGAAGGGAAGGGAAGAAGGGGTCGAGCGGGTGCCGGGGGTTGTTGGGTCAGTTGGGCCTCTTCGTCGGCCCATCAAAGGGCCTGGGAATTTATGGTGGGTCGTAAATAATGCATGGAGTTTTTCTTTTCTTTTTAAAGAATGCAAGGAATTTTTGCTTTCTTTTCTTTCCTTTTTCAAGACAAATACGTATATTTCAATGCTTAACCTTGGGGATTACAATCGTTTTCATACAGAAAATCAATCTCATGGGGGCCTGCTCTCAGCCACACATCAATTTGCATGTTATGGTGACCTAAATCGAGCAAGACAGTGGGTAACACTGTTACCAGCAATGACACGCTATACCAATGTAATACTCCCTCCGTCCCATAATATAAGAACGTTTTTGCCACTACACTAGTGACAAAAACGTTCTTATATTATGGGTCAGAGGGAGTAGTTGTCTATCTTGCTGAAGAAGACTCTTTATCTCGCCGACGATGAAGGCATTCGGGGATAGATTCGCGTCCAGCTTCTTGATCATATTAGCAGCCACCTCGGAGTCGGTTTCGACAATTAATGGTTTTGTGCTCGAGTCGTAGTCCAAGGCAATACATGCATCCAACTCTACCTCTAGCAGGCTATTGCAAGTGTGCATGTGACAACCATTATCGTATGTGACCACCATTTGTTTCTTGCCCCATTTATCCTATGTGACCACCATTTTCCCTCGACCAATATTCCCGGTGGGGTTCTCTTGTATGCACAAGAGGGACTCGATGTCACTGCATAAAATTTGGTTGGAGGATTCCACAGTCGGCGGTTGCTTGTGATGGTCGATCTCATTTCTCACATGTTGTATCCTCCAGAGCGTCATTGGCAAAGGGAGACGCTCTTGTTCATCGCAGTTGTCCATCAGGTGGACCAACCAGTCTGCCCCAATGTTAACGTCTTTGACATTTGTCATATGAAATTCTTTCCTCATAGCTCGCCATAGTTGGACAGCTAGAGGGCATATACAAAAAGCACAGAGTGTACCCTCTTGGCTCATTTCACATAGTAAGCACTAGATCTTGCAAGCTTGTGAATCACTTGATTCTCCATCATAACCAACGAATTTGTTGCGAGTTTCCAAGCAAAAGCTTCTGCTTTCTTTTTCCTAGCTACTAGAATGTTTCAGTTCGCTAGGTTGTTTTTTCATGTTCATAGATTCAGCAGGCGGTTAAAGGTCAATGAAACTTCACTTGCATCCTAAGCTCATACTCCATTTTCCCTCGCGCTAGGGTTTTTCTCCTCTCGGCGGTGACAACCGACGTAGGTAGTGGCGGAGCTACATAGGGGCAAAAACCGGGTTATGGCCCGCCCAACGTAGGAAGAAACCAGTGAAGAGTGTGGGACGAACTAGGTTATTAGGACAATTTTTGCGTGCTTTCCAGTATTTTAGCTCTTCTAATTGAAATTATTATCTCAAAAAAATGTAACTAAAACTTTTGGTTCCCTAAAAGAAATCCAACTGAATATTTAGCTCAAACCGGGTAGGACCTCTGCCATGCGACATAAAAGTGAACCCTATTTTTATATCAATACCAATGCAAGTGATTAGTGTTTTTATTTGTCTTTTTGTCACTTTTTCACTACTAGTGGCTAACGCATGGTCCTCTCTTGGTCAGTGACGCGACTTTGCCACCATTTTATTCACATTCATCCACTTGGGTGACCGAGTGATGCGTCAGACGACACAAAATGGCAATGGATTGGCGTCGGAGATAAACTTGGTTGTGATCTTTCCTTTTTTTCAGAGTCTTTTGTTGTTTTATTATAGGAGATGAACTCATTTACAATAGGGATGCAGCACATGTGTCCTTATTTACTCTAATGGTATATCTTAGGGTTGCTTCTGATGTTTGTATTTAGCACATTGTGTTTTGCAGCGTGCATCATGATGATGCAGAGAGGCCAGTCTTTCCCTTGGGATTGCTTACTACATGTGACACTTAGAGTCAGGGTTTTTTAGAATAAAAGAAGGATTACCAGACCCATATGTCACGTATTCGTAGATTTAACACACGTTATATAACTTCAGACGAAATGACCACAAGGCGACAACAAAATAAAGTACTTCATGCACTAGACTGCAAATAAATACGATGAGCACCATGCATTGTCGTGGTTCTAAGTCTGACAGTAATGTAGGGGGGTAGGTATGGAGAGGCAAGATTTTAGCTATGGAGTAGTTGTAAGCACACGAGGTTTACGAGTTTAGGCCCTTCTCGGAGGAAGTAATAGCCCTACGTCTCGGAGCCCGGAGGCGGTCGACTGGATTATGTGCGTATGAATTACAGGGGTGCAAATCTTTTACACTAAGGAGGGGGTGGATTATATAGAGTTCGCCAGACCCCTCCGGCCCTCAGTTATGCAGGGTTTCAAATACATTAAGGTCGGGCGTTACTGGTAACACCCCTAATAAAGTGCTATGATGACCATAAAAGCTACTTAATGACCGACCGTTAGCGTGCGGAGTGACTTTAGGTCTCCTGGCCGTCGAGTGGTTGGATCTTGGTCGAGTGATTGCTTCTTGGTCGAGTGTCTTCGAGTCTGTCGAGTGGAACACCTCCAAGTCGATTGAAAGGTGATTTCTTCTAGAGATATCCTTGGGTAGAGCACTTAGGACAGGTCCATGACCCTATCCTAGGTACATAGCTTCATCATTAGCCCCCGAATGGATCGAGGTTTGAGTGGGGAAGGAGTTGAGAACTTCTCCGAATCATTTTTCATGCCATGAGCATATCTTGTTTCGGACCAATGAACCTGAGTGATGACAGCAACTTCCTTTTCAGTCGCCTTGATCCATTCTTAGTTTTTTGTCGAGTGAGTTTCTTTACTTGAAAAGCTTCGAGTGACGGTGTGGAGGAGATCTTCCATCTGACAAGTTGTTCTGCTGCCCGCAGATTTCGCGGGATTCGAATTTTGGGAAGCACGCGGGACGGGGGAGGCCGCAGTAATCGGATGCGATAGGGCAGAGCCGCCTCGATCTCCGTGCCACCTTTCTTGCCACGTATCGCGCGCGCGATTGTTACGGGATTTGACAGGATCGTCCAGGCCTACCAGTCAGCCACTCGGAAGCGACCTCGTATAAGGCGTCGGACCGGGGTTTCTTGAACAGTGCGTTCTCATTTCCTCTTCTCCTCTTCAGGCTTCTTCGTCGCGCTTGCTCTCGCCCCAGCGCCGCCGCTCCGTACGCGTCTCGCCGGCGATGATGGGGAAGGAGAAGACGGCGGCTCTAGAGCGGGCGAAAAAGGCGACGGCAAAGGCGAAGGGGAAGGCGACCAGTCGGGGTGGATCTTCCTCACGAGCCGGCCTGCCGAAGGGCTGGATCCAGAGCGACTGGATCCACTCGGCGATCTGCCAAGAAGACCTCGACGACCTAGCCGACGGAGGACTGATCCCCCATGGATCGGCGCGGCTTCCGGGGAAGGAATCCGAGCCGCAACCTCGGGAGGGTGAGCGTGTTCTCCTTGCCACCCATGTCGACCGTGGATTTTCCTTGCCTCCTCACCCTTTCTTTCGGGGATTTCTGAATTTCTTTGGGGCACAACTCCACCACTTCACTCCCAACACAATCGTGTATCTCGATGCTTTCATGTCTTTGTGCGAGAATTTCTTGGGTTGCCGGCCTCACTGGGGTCTTTTCAAGCACATTTTCACCTGTCATTCTCAGACGGTGAAAAAGGCCAATCCGAGTGACGAGAGAACACAACTGATTCAGATGTGTGGGGGTCTTGGTGTTCAGATGAGAGGGAAAAGTTCATTTCCGGCCATGATTCTTCCCGACTCGGTCCGCGGATGGCAGTCGACCTGGTTTTATTGCAAAGACCAGCTGACGCCAGGGCAGTCGACTGGTCTCCCTCCTTTTACCATGGACCGAATGAGGAAACCCTCCTCTTTGAAGGTGCTCCCGGAGGAGAGGGCGCAAGTTAGGGTGCTGGTCG